GTTAACAGAAACATTTATATATAAATAACAAGTTAACAGAAACATTTATATATAAATAACACGTTAACAGAAACATTTATATATAAATAACACGTTAACAGAAGCATTTATATATAAATAACAAGTTAACAAACATATATAAATGACAAGTTAACAGAAACATTTATATATAAATAACAAGTTAACAGAAACATTTATATGTAGTAGTCACGTAGGTACGTGCCACTAGTTGTAGTATGACAATATATGAGATATATGCATACAATATTCACGAGTTCCTCATCTTTCTGACTGTGTAAGGTCGTGCATTGAATTTAACAGAAATGTAACGAGAGACGTTATTTATCTTTGACCCATCAAATCAATGCGGTCATTTATTTTCAGAATCAAAGTTTAACATCAAACATTTACATTGATTTGGCAAAATATGAAAATAATAACAGACAAGTTTCACAGAAAATGAGCATCGATCACTCGGCGGTGATCAAGGACTTTGCTTCAGATATTCCTAAGATATCTGTACTGATTTTATGAGAAAGAGGAGAGTTTTAAGATGAAATGGAGATTTATCTTACAGAGAAATATGTGAGGGAATTAATCTGTTTGACCAGAAATTGCACGCTCCATCAGATATCAGCTTGCCCACGGTACACTTGGTCGAAAATAGAACCATCTACCTTGATGATGAAATCAGCGTCGGCGTAGGTTCCTTTCTGACTCTTTTCAGCGTCTCCGTGAGAACTACCAAACCCTCAGAGAGTCGTACGTGGTTTTCAAACAGAAATTATAATCCCAAAACGTCTCTGGATCATCCTGAATGCGTTTGCACCCAAGAACTCTGAACTCCTTTCATTCTTCAGAACTTCTCAGACTCTTAATTGTCAGCAACTCTGCCAGAACCGGGAAGTTGCCACATTTTTAATGGGTCGACTTCCGGGTCATTTGAGAGCTTTTTGATTGGTCGATGGACCAGAAATAGAGGTGTGGTTTGTGATGTAAGATGTTATCATAAGTCAAGGATTGTTTTCAACATACAGAAAAGATTATTGCAGACGACCAGACTTCGTGGAGTCTCACGCTGTTGTATCTTCTCAAATAGTAAAACATGACATTTCTTCTCAGTAAACATTTTAGTTGACCGAAAACCGACCTTTAACATACTTACATTACTTGGCTCATTTCAGACAGAGAATCAAGAAATGCATATTAACCTGATTTCTTCTTTGAATGAGGAATAAAAATCATTACTTACTGCTTATGTAAAATAAAAATGAGTAGTTCTTTCCAACCTGTAAGCATTGAATGGAACTAACACAATTTGATTATCAAACATTTGTAAAACAGTAATGATTATAGAGAATTGTCTTTTCTGCTTGATTAATTCAAGAAAGAAAGTCACCAGATGGCTCAGACTGTATTCAGATCAATGAAAATAACAGTCTCTGTCCATCTGATAGATTTGAGGTCATCAGGGTCAGATCAGGGTCAGATCAGGTTCACTACA